AGATTATAAAATTGGCGTTATGTTGATGTTCTTGCTAAGAAATTGAAATCTATCTCTTAATCTCTTCCTAGCTCTTATCATTTACGATTATTTGTCTGGAACTTATCAGGAAATTAATTGCCTAGAAATAGCTTATGTATTAATCATCATTGATAGATCGTAGCAATTTGGATAATCAGCGAATGGAGAAATATTAGCAGGGATTCTATTCAACTCGTGGAACTAAGAACGCAACTAGCGTTGAAAAAGAACAAATTGAATCAGGATATCGTAGATGATAATCGATGACGATAAAATGGGCAATTGTTTCAAAGTATTGTCTCTCTTCCCTTTTGTCCCAAAAGATCATTTGAAAAAATGGCCTGTGGCAGGATTCGAAGATGAGAGCAAAATCAAATCTTAATTTTTGTATTTTCAAGTAAATATGAGAGAAACGGAAAGAATTGTTTTTATATGTATATTTTTAGACATTAACTATATAATGACACATACAGTAAACATGTAGTGTTAATTATGGTTTACTGTAATGGCGGTTTGAACTACTCTTATAATCTAGAGCTCTAATCTTCTGACGTCACTTTGCTACTTGGGTTGTTGTTGGGGTTGATTAGGACCCAATGGGCCGTTAAATCTCCCACCATACTGACCAAGTTGTTGTCGTTGCTTGATAAAAGACGGCCATCAACGGTAGATTGCTCTTGAATATTTTGAGTATTTGGTTCGGCGTATCGGCGTTTAATCGGGCGTATATGGGCTTCTGCGAATCTGCATAAACTGTCGAGGAGCATGCTTTTGCATATTGCTTCTCTGCTGCTTCATCATATGCTTGATAATGGAACAGAATGGAACGAGACACTTGGTCTTTTGGCAGTGTTTCGCATGATAACAACACAGCATAGCCAGGTTTTTGCATATAGGACACCCCTCGCCTTTGGTCCTTCTCCTGCAATTCTTTGCATGCGTCATCACTCGCTTCATCTTCTGGCAACTCGGTAGACGACAGTTATTAGCATCTCTGCACTGGCAGGCATGCACCAATGATTGAATCTTGAATCCACCTTTCCTTTCCACCTATCCTTAATTCCCTGGGCTCCTACAGGTTGCAGAAACAAAAAAAAGATACGAGCACATTATAGGTTTATCGTAATTACAATACATAGATATTTTTAGAATAAGCCGACAAGTTACCTGTGGATTGGTTTGTTCCGCATCCGCAGGCGGAGAGCCATTATCCAAAGCAAAGCCAAGTTTTTCCATCGGGTGTGGATGACCGTCCTTATCTTTACAATTTACACATAAATCGAAATCCTGTAATAAAATCGCACGTATAGTAAGCATGAAAGTCATGAAAAGTGACGAAAATATTTTTGTCCAAAGCAATCTAATACATACATCACAAACTGTACAATGGTATCTGGTCTCCACGTGACTTTTACAGTTGTTGCAAGTGTAAGGCATGTTGAAGGAAAAACAAGGTGTGCTTCTGTTCTTCCGTTTTTTGGCTCCTGAATTTGAAACACGTTACAAAAATATTTTTTGAAATTTTTTTCTAATTTTTAATACAAATTTTGTTTAAAATTTTGATGTCGAATACTTTTTTTCGGGTATGCAAGGTTCCCTTGTTAGTTAAAAAGAAACTAACTTACCCAACCGTCCCAACCCTGTCTCTTTGTGATCTGAGATCGGAGCGGCTTGCGGGTTGTGATTGTTGTGAACGATGTAAATTGTGAATGCTCACGGCTACGTGATTGTACATACTTGTACTACACGAAGAACATCTCCTCCCCTTCACCAGTACCATCATCTAGGCTGCGTTCCAAAATTCACTCTAGTTAACTAAAATGCTATAGTGTATGTACGGGCCCGGACACACACTTCTGCACAACGCATAATGCGTAAGCATAAGAAAATTGATTGATCCATACACATGTGCATAAGGAAATAGACCACGCAATTTTCTTATGCTTACGCATTATGCGTTGTGCAGAAGACGCAGAAGTGTTCGAAAACGTACGGCCATACGTTCCCGAATCGAGTAACACGATTGGTCGAAATCCTACTGTTACTGTTACGAAAAAGTGTGTGTCTGGGCCCTTAACCCAGAGTGAATTTTGGAACGCAACCCTGTACCGACGTAGCAGCCCAGGGTCATGTTCCAAACTCTAGTTAACTAAAATGCTATAGTGTACGTGACGTAAACTATAGATTTTAGTTTAAAGACCATCGCACACAAAATGCATAGCTTAGCATAAGCGTAGCATAAGACGGCTAAACCAATGAGCATCCAGCATAAAGTCGCCATATTGATTTACATAAGATGCTCATTGGTCCAGCGGTCTTATGCTATGCTTATACAGCCTATGCAATTTTGTGTGAAGTCGACTATATGGAAGTCGACTTTCCGTTCCGTCAACTGTGTGCTCGAGGCGTCAGGCGTGTATGTAAGTACATAACCTCGTCGCGTCGCCGTGTCGGTCACAATTCCGTTTCTATCGACTCGCCCTTGCCTAATAAGGCAAAAAAAGAAACATCGAGGGGACCCGTCGATCTCTCGACGCAGCATCCGCAACTCCAGCCTCTCCCGTTCTCGACGTCCCTCAAAGAGGCGAAGCCTTCCGGTTCGAACGTTACGAATAAATAATGTCTGACCCGCGCATAAGAACGCTCAAGATTAAGACAGGAGTGGTGAAGCGCCTCGCGAAAGAGAAGATCACGTACGAGAAAGAGGCGGCGCAGCAGCGCGAGAGGGTACAAAAGCTGAAGGAGCAGGGTGAGGATCGCTTTTTAGCCGCGAGGAGAGAAAGGACTGCGATTCCGTATCACGTGGCGTCGAGACTTTCCGTAACTGCGTAGTACAAGATATTTGCCGATTCGTTTGATAATAACGACAGTGTAATATTCCATTTGTAATGTTTTAACAGACGTCTTCGTTAAAAAAACTTGTAGATGCTTTTCTTTCTTTAATTTTCATGTCTTCGAAATAATGTCCCTGGCAAACTGTTGTCGAACAATTTTATTTACAGAATGTGTATTGTTGCAGACAAAGATAACTACGACATAAAGAAGCAAGAGGAGGTGCTTCAGGAGTCCCTTATGATGGTACCGGACTGCCAAAGGCGTCTCGTCAAAGCGTTTGAAGAACTCAAGAAGATCCTGGACACTGAGCAAGATTTAAAAGAAGTTGAAGGTTACGTCGAGGCTGAAAAAGTGCTCCGGGAGGTGGAAGAGCAGCTGCCGAAGGAAGGGGATATTTTGCAGATGTGTTAAAAGAAAAGTGCTTGCCGATGACTTGCTAAATTATTTTTCAATATTATTCTACATTCTTATTTTTTCACTTTTACTAACCCTTTACGATTGACTAATTCTACACGTAAACTATTACAGTCCAAGTTTTTCTTTCTTTTTTTTTTTATTTTTTATTGTTCTCACTTGAAGGTGCATATATTATTATACAAATATGTACAGTGGTCAGTCTTTCCAAGATACTGGACAGACTTATGAAAATGTGCATTTTAATATGTACTATCCAGTAACTCGGCAACAATTTACGTACAACGTAAATTATGGTGGGAATGTATATTATAACGTTTACCCAAGCCATGTAACATGTGATGACAGTACTGTTAATAATGCGACGTCAATCGATAGAATAAGAAGGCGACAGGAAGATGAGAAGGCCATTGAACAGTTTCTCGGAGAGGCGAAATCGGCGGTTCCTACCAAAAGCAAACAGAAAGATCCGTTCAAGATCGCGGCTGCTAAGAGTGCGTTGATATCGGCGGCTAGATTAAATAAGCAACTTGAGGCTGTTTGCGCGGAACTCGAGAGCAACGTCGATCTACCGGAGGCGCAATGGCGGGAGAAGGTCAGTGCCTGTAACGCTGCGAAACACGAAATCTGCGAGATCTTGAAAACTGTAAAAGACGTGAATTTTTTGAATAAAGTTAAGAACGATTTAGAAAAACGTAGGAAAAAACGCACGAGAGAACGGCTCCGAAGGAAAGAATGGAGAAGGGAGAAGTCGATGAAGGAAGAGAGAAGAGCGAGATTGCACGCGGAGGCTGACGCGTGGATTCGAAAGGAGCAGGCGGTAGTCGAGCGGGAGAAACAAGAGGAGAAATTGCGCAAGGATGCAGACATGGTTTTATCCGACGTGCGAAGCAAGAGGAACGATGCGCGAAAATATCTGGGAATTTTGCAAGAACTACAGAACTTGCGAAAGATCAAGGCGAACATCGCTCGAGCGAGGGGCGAAAAATTGTCCTCGGCAGCTGAGGAAACGTTCAATGATACTATCGGTAGTGTTTTATTACTATAAATCATTATTTTTAACAAGCTGCTCAAAACGCAAGACAAAAAGTAGACATTGTAATAATGCAAACGTAATAATGAGTAATTTCAATAACAAGAAATAAAATAAATATGAAATGCGATTAATAACGAAATATTTAATAACGAGATTTAGAATTGCGTTAACTTTTTCGTGCAAATATGATATAAATTATAATGTATTATTTTATTTTTAAATGACAAATGTATGTTGCAGCTAAATTAATGGAACAGTGGACTACTTTGGATCGCGAATATGCGACAGAAGAGCAGGAATTAAAATTGATGCTCAAAACAGATAACGAAAAGAGGATCGAAAAGCAAACGAAAAATATATTCGAAGATTGGGAGAATGTACTATTTGGAACAAGTATATTGGCTGCTGAACAATCCTACAAGAATGTCGATGGTTTTATCATGATTCGGTGCGTACTTAATATTGAAATGTAATTAAAATCACATAGATAATACATCTTTTTTTTTTAATCGAGAAAATAATCTTTTTTTGTTGCATTTTAGTGCGGCCTGGGATAAATTCATCAGTTCGGAAACTGATGCAACAACGATTCCAATTGGATGGATAGTGCCTGAAAAACCATCCTCTGCTGCTTGGCAAAAATGCCTAAATAAGGAGACTTCTTGAAATTATTGAATAAACGTGTCAATTTAAGTTTACTTGAAAAAAAAAAAAAAAAACAATTTACTAGAATATTTTTAATCAAGTCACGCGACTTGTATACACCATGATGAAGTTTTTCACTATGCTTTCGCAAAAATTGTTATACGATATGGAAAGAAATATTATTTCAATTTTCAAAAAACTCAACTTGTTATTCTTTACTTATTCATCGAAAGGAACAATCTAGAGTGAAGATATTTAAATCGTTGCTTGTTTTACTTATTTCGAGAAATTTAATATTAATATAAAATTATATACAGAAAAGTATTTTACAAAAATTATCATACAATTCGGTAATATTTTACAAGAGTTAAGTTTAACCAATATTTAAGATAATATCACGTTCCGTTTGAGCGGCGTTTGATGGTTCCAAGCTTTGATTCTCTTTTATAACAGGCAAAGAAGACGTTTCGGCACCAGATAATATAATTTGCATTGAACCCTGCAATTGCGTCAAAGCTAAAATCAACTGCTCTTCCTCCTGTAACTTTTGCGACAGTATAGCAAACATTTTTCGTGTTTCCTCTGACAGTTCGTCCAAATGGTCTTCGTACACATCTATTAAAAATAATTACAAAGAATAAGTATAATTTTTTTAATCCAAGAAAGATGTGTTTCTAAAGAGAAGTGTAAAAAGAAATATTTAAAACTTACCTAACAATACGTTCGCTACGTGCGATAATACTCTTCCAAAACGGATGTTGCCGATGTATTTGTTCAGGAATTTAATAATGTTAACTAAGGATTTGCCGTTTCTACCGGCCAAAGCTCGCCTTAAGCCTTCACGCCTGATAAGCTCCTGCGTAAGCGCCACGGTGACATGCGGCGTTTTATTAACCACATAATTCATCATGACACAATCCAGCGCTTTACTATATTGAAACTTTCGCAAGCAGGCGTCATGCTTGCTCATTATCTCTTTGACTTCTTGGTGCACGACCACGTCGATACTCCGTACATGCAGATTTTCGCCCGCGTGCCTGTACGACACCTTCTTGCGTTTCGGTTTTATTACATCTTTTGCATCTTCTTCGCGCCTCCTAACAGAAATCAGGCCGTCTACCATACCGGCTACGACGGTCTCGTCCTCTGCCTGCAATTTAATATTAACATATTTAATTTGATATGTCAATTTTTATAAATCGCTTAATTTAATAATGATAAACTAAATTTATTAAATAAGTGTAGATGCAAGCAGACGTGTAATGACAAAAACACATTTTTTTTTTCTTACACTAATTCCTATGCTGAGAACCGCATTGGGATAGTCCAGAGCATGAAGGGTTTTATATGTTCCAGCGTCATAAACTTTAACGTGCCTGTCCAACGAACCAGACAATATTCTATGACCATTAGAAGCGATTTTCAGGCAAGTTACGGTCTTGTGATGTTGCGTGATTTTCGCGAGCAATTTGCCACCCGCGAGAGCATCCCATACTTTGATGTCTGTCCCACCTTATAAAATTACATATAAATATTGAACATTTTTATACATAAAGCATCAATGATATGAAATTGTATATCACATTAAATTATTATACATATTACGAGAGAATTTAAAGAGAGATAAACTTTTAAACTTCATATATACATAAAACAGTCAGGATGTCGCACAAGTATTATACCTGCAGACAGGAATATTCCTCCAGTAGGCAAGAAGAGCAAACTTTCCACCGGTGCGTCGTGATTAACACTGAATATCTTCTTATTCGTCCTGGCGTCATACATATTTACAATCTTATCATACCCGCCGGATAGTAACACATCGGTGGACACGGGGCTCACTGCGCCAGCTCTGACGTAATCCGTATGTTCATTGAAACTTATCAATTGTTTCTCACTAGGTATATCCCATAACGCTACAGTCTTGTCGTCCGAGAATGAGGCAATGTGAAGATCGTCGGCTGTGAAGAAAACTCGGTGCACCGCGGCCTTGTGTCCGGAAAAGATCCGCAACATGCTGTTCGAACTGATATTAAAGAGCCTGACCACCGCTTCTTCTCCGCCCACGCACAATAGTTTGCCATCTCGACGAAAGCACCCTCCGTACGCGGCCTCTTTGAACCTGCTGTAAGTCTTTGTGGCCAACTTGGTGATAGGATTGTACAGTTGCACTCGTACTGAGCAGGTTGTTGCGAAGTAATGTGGCTCCACTGGCGAGAAGTCAATGTAGTCTATCGGACCAAATTCCTTTATCAAAACTGGTGGCTGTCAACATACAATTACCATGGGTAATTTATCATTCTCTACATAGACAGTTGTAAGAATCCAGAGATAAAAGAAATATCTTAAATATCGCATAAAGACAAGAGCATGAAAAATAAATTATATGAATTAATGGTATAACTATAACTATATTTATATCGCAAATATTTAGGCGATTCGGTATTAAACCGGATCTTACTTATTTTACAGTCTTCTCTTATAGAAATTTAATACTGTAAGTGATTATTTGACTAGTAATTACTTATTTTGAGTATTAAAATCATTAAAAACAGTACTTTTAATGCTCGAAATAAGTAATTAATCGCTAGCCAAATAATCACTTACAGTATTAAATTTCTGTAAGGGTTATTTATTATAGTTCATAATTTTATAAGCAACATTTCACAAGTCGAATCGATAACCAAACAGAGCTATAACGTTTTAAGTCAGATTGATGTGCTGCCAGCAAATAAATTCAAATATTCCATAAATAAATAAAAGTTTCCTCTTTACTTGCTATATTATTAGAGAATGTAAGTGCTTAAGATAAAATGTGAACGCGTGCTACTTTTCTTTCAAATTTAAAAAGATGGTTTCCAAATCGAGAAAGTTATACGGTACAGTTATATCCAGACTTTAACTCAAACTTTCTTTTTCCATTATTTCATTGTCCTGCCGAAAAAAACACGATTGTTTCTCACTTACAGGTTACGCACGTGGACGCGGCATCGGTGAGTATCTCAACCTGAATAACACGTACCGTATATTTCTTCCAATATATATTATCCTCGGTTAATTCCGGTCCTGTCCTGGCGAAGACTTTGGTATTTATTTTCTTGAACGACGTCATGTTTCAAAGTTATAAACAATCCAAAATTCGCGTCCAGCTCCAGCATTTATCGCGATTCTCTCGAAGCAAGTTGTTGAAGAGGAAGGTCTAAAAAAAAATAAGAAATGTCGCTACCACTGGCGCCACTGTTCGTAAGTACGGACGCCACTCGACTCTCGTCATTTCTTTGTTGGAATGTTCTTACTTTTTCATAAATCTCGGAGAGAGTAAGCGTCGCATTTCAAATATTAAAATATTCTGCGCCGCTAAAATATCATCGCTTAAATTTTATCTTAATTGCGACAGATTAATTATCATGATTGGTTATTTTGCAATCCACACAGCGTGATTTGAGAACCTGCGATATCGGAGCGTTCGCAAAGTCATGAAAAAAAAAGCGTCGCGATCTCGGGACGATAAATAATTTACCCTGAACCTGCCGATAGCCGATACTTTTGTCTGCATCCGAAAATGATCGTTGCATTATGAAATCGCGTTCGGTGAATTAAATCAAATATTATAACAATACAATTAGACGCTGGAAAGAGAAAGAGGAAAGACAACGGGTACACAAAGAAGCTCGCGCAATTACAAAATACCAAATTTTGTCTCTCTTTCTCTTAACTGCAGGAACGACTTTCGAGAGAGAAC